TATGTTTGATTATTGTAATATTAATTTTCATAAGTGATCAATATTTACAAAAACAAACGGAAACCGCTATTCTGATCGTCTTTTTTTTCTGATCACAAAAACATACAAACTTTTTTAAATATTATATATTTCTTTCAGCATTTTTTTGTGTGTCAGTCAAAATATGAAGAAAATTGATAAAAGTGACGGATTAGTGGCTCTGGGAAAAGAGAGTTCAGAATTTGTTTCATTATTATCTTCTGTGTTAAACAATGTGAGGTAGGCGAGAAAATGTATGATTAAAAGTAATAACTTACCTGTTCTAAAATAGAGGTATAATAAAAAATATTAAATGCATTATTAACATTTAACTAATTCGGATAGCTACAACTTCTTATATAATTTTCAGTAATAGCGTACATTCTTCGTATTTAAACGTAACATACAATCAATTGTTTCTTTATTATGAATTTCGCGCAAAGCTACACGAGGGCTATCTGCGCTAGCCGTCCCTAATTTAGCAGTGTAAGACTAGAGGGAAGGCAGCAAATCATCACCACCCACCGCCAATTTTTCGGCTACTCTTTTACTAACGAATAGTGGTATTGACCTTCACATTATAACGCCCCCACGGCTAAAAGGGGCGAGCATGTTTGGTGTAAATTGCGAGTCGAGCTCCCTAACCACCTGGCCATGCCGGGCCTCATACAATTAAACGACACAAGCTCATCAGATAACAAAACCTGTATCATAACCAACCGAGAACAGCAGATTCAGTCCTTATCATTTCGGATAGGTTGATGGCAGAGATTTGCACCTTACAGAACTTTATCAGGGACGCCAGAAGCTAATTTACGTGGGTGGAGCAGGGAACCTTAACAAAATGAGAACTTCCCTTGATACACAAAGACAGGACAAGAAATTAACTTTTAAAGTGATTTTGGGAATTAGATAGCACGTCTATCACAGCATAAAATTTGGTAGCCTTACTCTAATTCTAGCAGTCCGCTATTGCATTTTTAAAATATATGTTTCACTGCGCATGCTTGCTGTATATTAATACTTGCAACAATAATAGACACGCCGAAAACATAAACTACGATATGATTCAAAGGTCTAGCGGAAAAGTATTATCGACCAATGAAAGTTTTCAAAATAAGGAAAAATTTTAAATATGTACTTATATCGAGGTAATACAGGCATACTTCAGATTATACACTTTTTAAGTCTATTAACTTCAAAGCTGCGTATGTAATAGTTGATCTTGAATGTGTGCACACAACATTCAAGTTATTAAAGTTCAGCCACAGTGCTATGCTCGGCTGAAAACTAATCTAACAGTGGCAATATCTGACTGTCAGGTAATGTTTATGAGGCATAATAACGTTCAGAAACAAACATATTCTAAAGAAGCTTTAGAATAACTTTTAGCAGTCAAATTATTGGTGGGACAAGTGTCTCACTGGTCTCAACGGTTTTTGCTTTACGTGGTTGGAGATTTAAAATTATTATACCAATTAGGTCAGTGATCAAGATTAGAGATATGTAGAAAATCCGAGTGCTAAGTTTAGCACGAAAGTATCATTATACCATTAGGTCAGTGGTCAAGATTAGAGATATGTAGAAAATTCGAGTGCTAAGTTTAGCACGAAAGTATCATTATACCAATTAGGTCAGTGATCAAGATTAGAGATATGTAGAAAATCCGAGTGCTAAGTTTAGCACGAAAGTATCACTATACCAATTAGGTCAGTGGTCAAGATTAGAGATATGTAGAAAATCCGAGTGCTAAGTTTAGCACGAAAGTATCATTATACCAATTAGGTCAGTGACAAGATTAGAGATATGTAGAAAATCCGAGTGCTAAGTTTAGCACGAAAGTATCATTATACCAATTAGGTCAGTGATCAAGATTAGAAATATGTAGAAAATCCGAGTGCTAAGTTTAGCACGAAAACTTAATATCTTCAAATCTTCTTTTTGCATAAAAGATGTCAAAATGCACGTGTATGTAAAAGTTATACTAATGACTAAATCTAATTAAATAAATTTTTGTTTCAATCTTGATAAACGCTCTTAGTACTTTTCTTGATGAAGTCATATAAATATTTTAATACGTTAGATTTTGTGTCCTGCAGAAACAAATGCATAATATATGAGCCAACCATAAGAACAATTTCCTTGATTAGCGCGTATTTTTTTTTCCATAGCAAATCCAAAAGTTGCTTCCCTTATATGTAATTGTAAAGAACGCAAAAACGCTCATAAAAACTGCAAAGCACAAAATGTGAAACCGCACGTTTGGATGTATCTCCGCATGGGCCCAACAAACTTTCTTGCCAAAGTCAGCGAAGATCCATCCACAGGAGGTGAGATAGTAGTTAAAAAACGCTCATACAAAACGCAAAATGCAAAATTGAAAATTTGTATATACCCCCGCATAGATCTAATGAACCTCCACACCAGTTTTGGCGAAAATCCATCCACACAAACTGCAAAGTAGTTACGTGGTCATACAACAGACAGTACTATTATTTTTATATAGAAACACTACTCATGAAAATGAAAGGACAATGAGGTTTGTTTAAATTTTTATATTTTTAGTTTATATTTTTTTTTAATTTAGCGTGCTTATTATAGAGGAATATTCTAATCCTACCAAGGGTTTCCAAGTCTATGAACCAATTGATTCTTTATGTAATAGGCCTTTATGAGAAATGACCTAAATTCTGCAAAGCAAAAGGCTGATTTTGATTGATTAGAAAAGATGATTACTGTTAAAATGATGCTAGATTATTGACTGTTTTCCTGGTATTGACTTTTTACAAAGAGTTTCAAACTGTTAGACATCAGTTAACTTAAACTGAAGTTTGCAGAGCCGTCACACTGCTACAGGAAGGCCGCACCGAGACTGAGGTGTCACAAATCATAGGGGTGTCACAGTTCGTAGTCAGTAGATTGTGGTATAGGTAACAAGCCACAAGAGAATAATACACCAAGAGACCAGGCCATGGACGATAAAGGGCTATAAGTGCAGTAGATTACCGGTATTTGCGAAAGTTAGCCCTTAGAAACCTCACTAGCAGCGCTAGGAGTCTCAGGAACGAGCTTCAGCAAGCGACTAGAGTGCGTGTATCGTGCTCAACGATCAGGAACAGAGTCCGTGAAACTGGGCTCAAGGCCAGGATACCAGTTAGAACCCCTGTACTAGCCCCAAGACACCGAACAGCCCGGCTGGCATTTGCCCAGGGACATGTCACCTGGACTCTTAAGCAATGGAACCTTATGTGAGGGTCTGGAGATGTGAAGGAGAGCGCTATTCGGCTTGTTCACATTGATGTGTTTGGGGGTGGCTCAGTCACGGTCTGGGGTGACAGTTGCATGCAGGTGCATACATGTGGTAGATGAAGGATCAGCAAAACGTTACATGGATAAGATCCTGCTATCCATTCTTCGCTCTTTTGCTGGTGCTGTCGATGATGAGTTCATGTATCAGCAGGTTAACGCCCGTCCTCAAACCGCCAGGTCACGAAGCAGTTTTTTTCAGAATAAAGGAACAGAGGTGCTGGACTGGTCTGCTAAGCCATCGGACCTAAACCCGATTGAGCATGTGTGAGAGCAGTTAGAGACAGACAATCTCAGACAAGCTCAGAGTTACATTACCCTAGTAAGTCATCTGAAATGTTATAAACAGTGTGGGAAACAAGCTCAGAGGAGTCACAAACAATAGAGGAGAAATAACAACTACTGAAGACTCATTTTAAGTGTGATTATCTTAATTAGTTATTTTTCTTTGGTATATTTGTGTAATAGAATATTGATTGGTAATAAACAAGTTTCGTTACTATTGAATGTCTCTCTGTGTTTTTATTCTTCATATTTTGAAAAAACAACAACATCAAAACCACACATTATCTTTTAATTTTTAGCCAGGTGGTTAGGCCGCTTGATTCGCAATCTGAGGGTCGCGGGTTCGAATCCCCGTCCCACCAGAACATGCTCGCCCTTTCAGCCAAGGTGGTGCTATAATATGACGGTCATTTCCACTATTCGTTGTTAAAAGAGTAGCCCAAGAGTTGGCGGTGAGTGGTGATACTAGCTGCCTTCCCTCTAATCCTTCACTGCTAAATTAGGGATGGCTAGCGCAGATTGCCCTCATGCAGCTTTGCGCGGAATTCAAACCATCCTTTTAATCTTTATGAGTGATGTTTATTGTATAAAAGATTAAGCATGGTCTTTCATCTGAAATTAAGCTTTTGTAAAAGCTTGTGATTAATTAATTAACTTTATTACATACTGAAAATTCCTCTTATAATTGTGGATTATATTGTCCTTTCGTTTATTTTAAATAATTGTTTTATTTTCTGTTCGATAGTCTTGTACACTCTCCTCATTATATTAGTTTTTTTGTGTATACACATTTTCCTTTTCAGAACAAGTAGCATTACGTTGTTTATCGATTTCCCTCAGGATTTGCCATTACATAAAAGTTAATTTATTTAAAAAAACTGATCTAACTATAAAACTGAATTTTTTTTGCTTCTTGTTGTATTCAATACTTAATGTGAAAATCACACGCTGTGACCATTAAGTGGCAAGATTCGATTGAATAATATGTAATTGACCATGTAATATACATGTTTCCTTTTCCGTATAGCGTGAACATTTCCATCAGTGAAAAAGCATGACGACGAAAATTTTCGGCTTTAGTCATGTTCACCCTCTGGTGCTCGATTTCTCGCTTCCTTACGTACTTCGAGTTTGTGGTGGATTCTCCACAAAAAGATTGGACTTTTGACCCAGGTGAGGATAGATAGATAGATAATAAATTTTAAAGTAATTTGTGCAAAGGCCCCCAGTTTATCAACATTTTTCAAAATTAAAAGGCTATTCCTTTAAGATAAAAATATAAATTAAGAATAATATACAATGACTGTATATTTTAATTTATTTCTATTATCAACACTAAGAGATCTTTATGGGAATATAATAAAACAGATTTTGATCCATCAAAGGGCAAAATGCCAGCGGCTAGTACAGAGTCCCAAGAGAAACTATTTCACAGAACGCCATCCAGTCCATTATTGATCACTGTATCCAATTTCGAGAAAGTTGAAGTTGACCACATTAGCCGATCAAATCCAGAGATTTCTCAGATATCCGCCAGTAAGTACGAAGCTGCTCTTCAGAACCTCTGCTCTGATGACCGTTGGCAGAAAGATATTGCTTTAGGCAAGAGAGTAGGATTCTATAGAATTCATGGAGAGCTGGGTTCTGGAAATTTTTCCAAAGTGAAAGTGGCTTCTCATTGTCTAACTAAACGTAAGTTCTATTTTTGCTTTTAAACGTACTCACTGCTTCATCATACCTTCGTTTTTACTAGTTTTTACCATTCTATTTTCTCAGTTAGATATATGTATTTAATATTAATTTAAAACTTTATCACTGTTTTGATGCACGAGCCTTTTTATAGTGAATTTTGAACTATTTTACTGCCCAGTTTAAAATCAATTGAAATGCGCTCAATGACTAATTGGATGTTATCTCTAAGTTAGTTTTATATACTATTCAAATATAGTCCATTAAGTCTTAAGTTTTAAGATGTATAAATTAATATAGCTTTATATGCAATTAGGACAAAACTTTTGCCATTTACATTTTCCTTTGAATATGAAACATGGCATAAACCTTAATTCCTCAAAGCATCTTATCCGCTTTTTGATAAACAATATTACTCGTCGAGAGATCCTCTGGTGCTGAAAGAGCAAAGCTTCAATTATTTCCTTATCAGTCGACTGGTAACACTTGATGATTTTTTTTCAAATTGAAACACTATTTTCTAATCAATGAAGTGTTTTCAGTCCATAATGCTGGAAAGATGAGTGAAAATTTGTCGTGTTTTCCATTAAGACGGCTGGTTCGATTGGTTTTTGTTATTGTCATTAAATTCTTGTTTTGTAATAGGGCAGAAACTGGTTCGAGCACATTAAAAATTAAAATAGTTATGCATGATGAAATATTGAATGAATATCTATTGAAATGGTTGGGTATGCGAGCATTAACATTACAAAACTCTCCAAGAACAGCCCGTTAAATTATTCATGCATATTTCTGTAGTTGAAAATTATATTCTTTGACGCTTTATAGTTAGTTTAATAAGATGTCATACAGCGCTGAGCTATATATTTTTGATATAACTTTAGAATTTAATGTCACACACACAAAAAAAGAGAATGCCATATGTGACACATGATGAACACGCAATCCAACTGTTACAACATGAACTCACGTTGTTGTCAAACTGTAGAGCGAGTAAAAAGACTCGATATTGAACACGAACAGTATGGAAAGTTTCTTAATCTTCAGATGAAAACGACATCTCTCTTTTTTAAAAAAAAAAATGTGTGGACTTTTAAAGTTTAAAATAGAAAAAAAAGTAATGACAGCAATTTTTCGCAAGAAATAAATTTATCTGACGAGAGCCTGTTTGAAAATCGTCGCGTGTTTAAATAGAAATAGGAAATTATGCTTTGTTGAATATATTTTTTAATATTTGCTGAGTTGTGAAACTTTTAACTTAATGATGTACCTGGAACCCTTTTTACTCAAAAGTCAGACGTAATGTGTTATTGAAGTACTTATTTTTTTAGCTTATCAACTTATACGTTAATTTTGGTATTTCATAATCTGTAGCCTAAAGACCTAAATCAAGTGTAATCACTGATTGCTTCAAATCCAGAACTATATAAAAAAACATGCCTGATATTCAAACTATAAACCATGTAAGGTGGTTTAAAGATTCGGGAAAAAGGAGTTATGTTGTACCTGGTTCTAACAAGTTCATGCAAATTCAAATGCTACAAACACCAGAAACTTATTCGAGCTCTGCAAATTAACTAGTCAAGCAACGTCAGTTTAAGTATAGCTTGAAAAGTACGAGTTAAGATAAAAGCATACAAATAAGTAAAAAATAAATGCTCAGTTTTTCCATTAAAACTTTCGTAACTTTTTTCGTGTATAGTTGATGTGTAACTGTGACTTTATTACGCTTAGAGATTGGTACCCGTGGTGGCTACTTTTAACTTGTCGCTATTTCAAAGTTAACTCTTTTGTAAACTAACTTGACAGTCTTTAAAATTTTAAGATGAACTGTCATGGGACGTATAAGTTATAATTTCTTGTATTAATTGATTTAATAAACGGTCTCGCTCTTAGTTTCGTTCAAGTTTCTTCTTTTTCTTCATTCTCATTTTCTTCGGGGGTGAAAAAAGAAAACTGTAATACAGTTGCTATGACAAAAATGCCGTAAACTTTGATCGAAGCAGAAACTGTTAGAGAGAGATGTTAGTTGCTGTAATATGGGTGTCATTGCTATAGAAATATGATGCTATATAACATGATAACAATTTCAGATGTAGGTATGAAAATTCATTAACCTAAAGAACTGTTATTTCTTTTTTTTGTGTGAACATCTGGTTGCTTTTTATGTTAATGTGGAGGTACAAAGAACCATTTTTAATATGTATTCTTGGGGAACTTATTTGGCTGTAAACACGATCTGTTTCTATAATGATTATTCCACAGAAAAAGTAGCTGCTAAGATCATAGATAAGTCCAGATTAGACATCAAGACACAACGTATGCTAGCACGTGAGATTAAGAGCATGGAAAGCCTTCATCATCCTCACATCATCCGTTTGTATGAAGTGATAGAAGCATTATCGAAAGTGTACCTCATCATGGAGTATGCCAGTGGAGGCGAACTCTTCCATTGCATCACTTCAGAAGGTCGGCTTCCCGAACATAAAGCTAAACATTTGATGGCTCAGGTCGTATCTGCTGTCAATCATATGGTGAGTGTAGAATACGTAGTACAATGGAAGCTAATTAACCTAGATTAAACGACACTCGGTTTTTTTTATGATATTCATATTGTGACTGTAACAAACGTACCTTAATGGAAGTTAGCCAATCCAGATAAAACGACACTTTGCGGTTTCTGTAATATTAGTATTGTGAGCGTAAGAAACGTATTTCTGTAATATTAGTATTGTAAGTGTAACAAACGTACTACAATATAAGATAGCTAACCTAGATAAAACGACACTTTGAGGTTCTCTATGATATTTGTACAATAATTATAGCATACAGAGAAAGATTTACCAAAATTTATAACGTATATAATGTTCCATTATATCAATATAAGCTAGCTAACCTAGATAAAACGATACTTTGAGGTTCTCTATGATATTTGTACCATAATTATAGCATACAGAGAAAGATTTACCAAAGTTTATAATGTACATAATGTTCCATTATATCATTTTATAAAACAGAGATATGGGCAATATTGAAAAGGTTAAACCTAACTTTAGTCCCGCTTTGTTAGGCTGTGCACAAATTTTCTTCTCTGCATCAAAGATAAGTTTTATTATAACTTAACCATAATTGTTGTACCTATGTAATTTCATGAAAATGTCGTGACCTAAAGTAATCATTAAATTGTTACTGTATAAGAAAAACTTTGGCATTCACTAGATGTCGCTTTTACTAACTAAAATTCTGATTAATAATTTCACATCTTTTTGCGTAGCTTTTGTTTCATAGTCGCTGCAAAATCAAATATTTCTCAGGGGAATCCCATTGAGAAAAAGATTAAGACAATTTAAACAATATGTATATATGTATGGGTGTGTGTTGAAACTTTTTTCAGCATCAAAACAACATCATTCACCGTGATATTAAAGCAGAGAACGTCTTCTTCGCTGGACCGAATGTTGTGAAAGTCGGTGATTTCGGCTTCAGTACACAAGTTGAAAATGTGTTTAACCCCCTGACAACATTCTGTGGTTCTCCCCCTTATGCCGCCCCTGAACTCTTTAAAGACACAAGCTATATTGGGCCTTGTGTAGATATTTGGGCCTTAGGAGTTCTATTATATTTTATGGTCACAGCTTCTATGCCTTTTCAGGCACAAACTGTGGTGTTTCTTAAAAATCTTATTATTGAAGGTAAATTTAAGATACCATCTTACGTTTCCAAAAATTGCAGTGTTCTCATTAGGGGGATTCTCCAACAAAACCTAAAGCATAGGTTTAATATGAAAGACATTATGTTATCAGAATGGCTGTTTAATCAGAATTTTCCTGACGAACTAGAGAGATATATAATGTACCCAAGCTTTGAAAGTAGCTCTCGTTTGACAGAAGAAGAGCGGGAAACGCGACACCAGCTACGAAACCTGGGGATAACAGATGAAATGTTGCAGGACTGTGCGAGTAGAGGGCCACGCAGTAACATCACTGGGACTTTTAGAATTGTGCTGTATAACTTACAGACAAATCCGCTAGAGGACACCTCGAATGATAGTGCGCCCGGAACATCTCTAGCTGAAAGGATTCTAGACCAAGAATTCAATGAGAAAGGTACACGAAAAGCCAACGAAGGAGCTAAACCTCCAAATAAAATATCAAGAATGTGTATTTTGCTGTGATAGAAACTTTCCTAACAGTTAGAGGGAAATATTTTTCACATTATATATTTTACTTTACACCAAATGTTTCCATTTTCTATAAAGTAGTAAAAAAAATACAGGTAGAAAGTTTTCATTATTTAATTTAGTATATATGTCTGACCTGTACGGACGTATGTTAATTATACACACACACACACACACATATATATATATACGTATTTAAGAAGAACTATATTTACAGATATCATATGTAGAAATATGAGCCATAATTGGAATTTCAATATGTTATAATAAGGTTTGTGGAGTATTTTTAACTTAATTTACACTGAGTTTAATAAAAATTATAGATAATGACAAAACGAATTTTATAGGCCAAAGAAAATCAATATTTTTAAATTGTAAATATTGGTTCTGATGCTCAACCTTCTTTTTAGATAAATAATCAACCTGTGTACATAACGTTAAGTCATAACGAAAAAATATAATTTTACGTTCCTTATAGAGTAGGCTCTAATTACTTAATAGAAAACAAGTAAATATCAGTGACATATATATACTAGCTACCTCAGATATAGATATTTCAATAACTCTAGTAGGTGCAATTTTTTTTCTTTTTGTCTCTTGATAACATCAAAGGCTTTCTTATGTGTACACACACAAACAATATGCATGCTTATTTTGTGAAAAGCCGCACAATGGGCCGGATTTTGAACCCCGGATTTTAGGGTTGCAAGTGCGTAAACTTACCACTGATCCACCAAGGTATACACGCGTATACATGCGTACGATAACTATATATCACTCTCTTGATTGTATATCTATTCAGTATTCGTCTATCTATTTATCTGTCTACCACATTCATTCAAGTATCTAAAATGAAACAGATTGTCTTATCCATCGTGAACATGGTATTTATCTAGACTCAACTTTCTTTTCGAATAGCAGTTGTTACACGATTCGTCAGGTTATTAACTAATCACCATCAGTGATCAGATATTAGTGTTAAAAATCCTCACACTTACCGCTAACCCACCAGGGGGCGGAGTTTCAGAAGATGTTACTTTCAGATCATGTGATATTAAAGACAATCTGTCTCTGTGTATTACAGATCAAAAATATTGTCTATAGCAGTAGTGTGAGAGTTTCGTAGAAACTTCTTTTTGTGGCTTTTAACAAATTTGAATTTTCGTCAACTTTATAACGATATCATATTGTGGCGTTATCAAGCTACATCAAGTAGGTTGTGTAATTTATAAAAGTTCACAATGTGATTATCTACTCTGGTTACAAATGCACAGTCATTGTACAGTATGTAAATATATTCGGACAATGGATTCTATGACAAAGTAATAAGTGTAATAATGGCATACACTGTCAGAAAAAAAAAAAGAGAAATGACACATCTTAAGAACGTCTCCAATTTGATCACAACATAAAGAAGGAAATCGTACAAACTTCAATCATTATTGAATTCATAGTTTATTACACTGAAGCTACAAAGTTATTTTAAGGAAAGTTTAAGTTTGAAATATAATGTAAAGCGGAGTATACATATTACACAAATAGCAATCTCTTGCATTTATAAGATGGGTACTGAATATACAGAATCTTCCCTGAAACCCTGTCTTAATAAGATGTATTAAACTTCATTTTGATCATTTGCTATTAATGTGAAAAATAATATTTCATTTTCTCCTTTTTATTCTTATTCATAAATGTTGATCATACATTTAATATAAACAATATGATCTTTATCACAGATTCGTTGTGTAACTAATTCAGTCTGAAAAAAATATCACTATCAAGATCGTTGGGAAAAGAAAATACAGCTTCATCATAATATAATATTATTTCAATAGGACTTTAATATAACAGTGCTTGTCCAAGCCACTGTTTCAATGGATTTCTGTATGCATGTCTGTATAACTTGTGTACTAATAGTTTCTATGAGGTGGAATCATATCTATTTTGTCAGTCCATCAGTTTAATTTTTTAACATTTTCCTCGACTTTCAAAATAGTGTAGATCAAATGTTTTATTTATTTTTCCATTTGAGGCTGAACATGTCTGGGTTTAGTGATTAATATAACTGGCTTTAGATCGAAAGATCCTGGGTTCGAGATGTATTATTGCTGAACACGCTCCATATTTTCAACTGTAGGTCTGATATAAAAGTGATAGCAATCACATTATTCAGTTCAAAGAGCCAGACAAAGTTATGGCGGCGGGTGCTACTGGTTAGCTGCCTTCCCTGTTGTTGTAATGAGGATTTTTTGAATATTTTTCAACTTTATATTAATATCACTTTTTTTTTTACTTTCTAAACAGAAAATTTCATTAGTACATATACATACGTCATAAGAAGTTAGAAATTGATAGTAGGTTCACATGGGTCAGGCGTGGCCTAGTGGTTAGTGTACTCGGACCGTTAATCCGAGGCTGTTTACCGCAGAAATATGTACTCTGCACTTTTGTGCCACGGAAGCGCTATAAGCGTGACAGTAAAATACAACTATTCGGTCAAACAAGAATAGCCCAAGACCTTGTGGTGGGTAATATTGACTATCTGTTTCCTCTGTTATCTACGAATACAAAATTAGGGTCAGATATAGGCAGATAGCCCTTTGTGTAGTTTTACGCAAACATTATGTCACGTTTTTATATTTTCTTACCTCATTTTAAAGTTTTTTTCATGTACAGTGTTCAAAATTGATCTACAGACAGCACTAACAGCTATTCAAATAGTTATAATGTAAGCTAATTTTATGTACCATACTAATAATAAAGATGTTTCATGATTCAATTTTCACTGATTGTATCAATTTCAAAATGACTACAATTTTACATCTAAGTCATTTTCAAAATATATGCACATTTTAAGAAAATAAAAAGGTGTGAATTTCATACATCATATTTTGGTTATTGAACAGATGATTAAAAAAGGCTTAGAAACAAGCTGGAAAATAATTCTGATGCACTTGATTTTACTTCATCTAATGATACTGCAGAACAAGAGTGGAATATTATATAATATATATTAGGTCGTCAAGAAATTAATGTCGCTTTGTTTTAGATGAAAAAACCTGAACACCTTATCTATAAAAATAAAACACTTATTAAATGAAATAGTCTCCATTTTTATCGATGACGCTTTTCCATCTTACAATTAGGTTGTTAAGGCTCTGATTAAAGAAATCACTTGGTTTTGAAGCAAAAAACATGTCGATGTCCT